GGCTGCGGGCCGGCCCCGCGGGGGCGGCTGAGCGCGCAGCAGTGCCTGCCCGGGCAGCACTTACATCCAGGTCGTCCATGGCCGGGGGGGGGCCTTTGTCCGTCACCTTCTCCAGGAGCTGGAGGGGGAAAAAAAGGGCAGCGGGAGCTCTGAACGCTCTGCTCCCCCCAGCCCAAACACCCGGGACCCCGAGGCCTGTGTTCCAGCTCACCTCTGCGTACTGCTCCACCATGGCCCTCTCCACCTCCTCGTCCCCTTCCCAGTCTCGCCAGTTGTCAAAGTCCACAGAGAGCCAGGCAGGCTGCAGGCAGAGAGGATCTCTGAGAGAAGGAGCATCACGGAGGGGATGGGGCAGCCCTGTCCCCCCAGCCCAGGGACAGCTCTGGGCTGAGCACAGCTCTGGGCTGAGCACAGCTGCTCCTGCACAGGGGAGGGAACTGGGTGGGCTGGGGAGAGAAAGGAGGGGAGTGTGTCCCTTTGCCTGCAGATCCTGCCACCCCTGCCTCAAGGGAAAGGGGTGGCTGGAGGGCAGAGGTTCATGGGCTGGCAGTGATTGTTACGTTGGGCTCTTTGGGAGTTCTGTGCTGGGTTGCCTGTATAGGGTCCTTGGTGTCTGTCCTGGGGGCATGTTGGTCCCCAGGAGCCACTACAGGGGCTGAGGCTGGTCCTGACTGCCAGCATCGCACATACTTTGATGTTCTCCTTGGTGATGCGGGGCCAGGCCACTTTCTCCTTCCACTTCCTCATAAAACACGTGATGGAGCGGTCGGAGCGCTTCTCCCTTGAGTCCTGACAAGAGATCAGGGGTGCCTCACCTCTGTGTCTGCAGCTCTGTAATCAACCGCAGACTGCGCGAGACTAAAGCTCAGCCATGTGCAGCCTGTGGGACACAGAACCATGGGGACAGGTTGTTTCTGGCCCAAGGCAGCACTGTAAGTGCACAGCCCAGCTCAGTGCTCCCAGGCTTGTGCTCATCCCCCTCAGGCTCCTGGAGAAACAGGCAGGATTTGACATTGAGCAGCACTGCTCAAGACTGCACAGGTTGGGTTAAACCCTGAGCCTGATGTTGGGGAACGGTTTGCTGGGAGAAGCCTCACCTTGGAGTTGACCCTGGCATACAGGTTGATCTCATTGTAGAACTCCAAGCCATCTGCATTTTTGCAACTGCCAAAACAGTAACAGTCTGGCTTAGGAGAGGGTTGAAGTGCCCTGCTCTTACAGGGTCCCGCCTATCCCCCGAACAACCCCAATTCAGGGCTGCATCCTGGGCAGCAGCAGCTCACCTGAACACCAACCGCTGGTCCTCAATGACGACCTTCACATCCCTGCTGTCCTCGACACAGAACTCCAGGTAGACGTACCGCGGGCGGTCGTACCACAGCGTCTTCGCAGGTTGCCTTGGGAAAGAGCCGACCAGCGGGTCGTTCCGTGGTGCCCACCAGCGCTCCACAGGGACCGCGTGAGGCACGGGGAGGATGGGGGCAAGGAGGATGCCCCAGATGGCTGCCCTGTCCGGGCTGAGCGCGGCAGGGCCTGGGCGGTGGGCGGTGGGCGTGCAGCGCTACCCCCGCGCCCCACACAGCC